GGCACCCGGTATATATACACATGCACCCGGAAATTCTGAAATAATCATTTTTTATTCTTATTAATAAATACTGATGATAACTATCAAAAACGCTATTGGAACGAAGGTTCCATATGAAAAAATACTACACCATTAGGTAATTCATCAATGTATAGGTTTAGGTAACTAAAACTGTTGGATTGATCTGATGCCATTCAATAGACGATAGTGATACTCTTTAGTTCTGATCTAACTGACACTCACTCGAACCGAACTGAATCAGTTGACATGCATTGTACCTAATCAAAGTCATTCGAAATAGGGTCACTTGATGCACACTCACGTATTTGTCATCTTAAAACATGACTTTAACGTCAAATGCCATTTCTAGTGAAATATGTCAGTTGGTTCAGATCAAAATACTATCGCACTCATGAATCCGAAGTGATCAATTCACTTAGCCCCAGTTCCAGTCACGTTGAAGCGCGTTGAAGATAGCAAGATGTAAAGCAAGTGAAATGGCTGATTCGTTATTATCATTGCTAATTGAAACTCAATGATGCGTCTTAGAATGCAAAAGTAACAGCTAAAGAATCCCTTCACATGGCTGTATAAGTCGGTGGACTGATTTGATACAAACTTGAGAACGATTTGTTATACAGTTGCCTACAGAAAGGGTTTTATTGCTTACAAAATATACGACGTTATAGCACAGGTGTTATAAAAATCCTTAGAGCACTCCAACACCTACGTTTTATGCGTTTCGTACCTCGTAAAAAAGTAGGATGTTTGGAGAATCATTACTGAGTGCAGACCATGAAGGATTCCTACTGGTAAATCAAATCAGAAATGAACCCCATCAACCAGTGACGTAGCCGTTGTTGTACCATATCACTCTTTTTTAATGTCACTAGTATTAGCAGCAATGTTGGGGTTATCAATACAATCAATCAAACTATATCAACCTTTACAATTTCACCGAATAAGATCCGATAAGTAATTGTCTTCATAAATTTAGAAAACGGCATCAATAATTATTGTAATCATGGTTGGATGTTGCTCAATAAGCTATGTTTCTCCGACAGATATTCTTTGTTCCGTAGTCCCATAGTAAAATGAAGGAGAAGTATCTTGAAAACAATCATTTGGTGAAAACAAAACAATTCCAGAAATTCACTAGTTTTGCTTGTGTAATCTCTAAAAGAAGTTCATGGTATCTTGAGGTGGAGTTGTGTTATAGATGAAGAAAGTATTACCCAATACCTTTCACCGATTTCTCAATAACCGGAATTGAAGATATTTGCAAGTGCTACTCCATGTATTGTGTTCAATCGCTGATAGAAGGAATGATAATTTTAAATCAAATCAACAACATTGAACTACAACTATTGTTACTATCTTAGTTCCGCGGCCATTCAATCTCTAACATGCAATAAAATCAGATCAAAACTGGTCTGGGATTGCCTTCAAAGCCTGCCAACCCTAGCTAACCACAACAAGGTAACTCTTCAATGGGTGCCAGGGCATAAGGGAATGGAAGGCAATGAAGCAGCTTACGCTTTTGCTAGGTAAGGGTCTGCGGCGTTGTTTATGGGACCGCAACCTGTGTTCGGTATCCCCAAAACCTCAATACCCGGCTGGCTGGCAAGGTGGATGCAAGAAAGACATCAGGCATACTGGAACAATGTCCCAGGACAAAGACACAGTAAACTGATGATTGGAACACTGTCCAAAACAGTGAGTAACGACATTCTGAGCCTAAACAGAAGTCAGATCAGACAAGTGACGGGACTAATAACCGGTCACTGTCCCTTGAGGCAACATATGCATCAAATAGGCATCTATGCAGACTATGCAATGAGGAGGAGGAAACTGCCACCCATGTAATATTGGAGTGCGAAGCACTAGCGCGTTGGAGATACAACCTTCTGGGAGCAGTAAACTCTCAAGAGGTCTTTCCAAAGAATGAGTTGGTGAAGAGGCTGCTAAACCTTATCAAGGTACCGAACCTGTTCACCTAAGTCAACAGTATGATCAGGAATACAATAGGCCCAAAGGCTGCAGTGTTTTGGGCTTCGAACCCTGACTGATCGTTCTGCTATTAATCAACCAATCAATCAATCCTAGTTCCACCATTAAAGTAGAATATATTGAGGAAGAATAGCTCATAATCATCTCTATAGCTTTCGTTGTAACATGTGGAAATGAAATAGTGATACTCGACTACAGCTACATTCAATCGTTCGTTAGAAGTTTATAGAGTCACTGAATGGTATTAGTTAGATGACTAACACCATCCGGTGACTCTAGAAGTTCATAGTATCTCAAATGAGTGGAGTAGTTCTAGATGTAGGAAGCTCAGACCATCTTCATAATTGATATCATAGGTTAGTTACTGTTGCTCAACCATATGTTCTTCCAAAATGTACTATGGTGAGTTTCTACAATTTCTGTTTTTCAAAGTTGTCATTTTTCAAGATCATATCAAGTTATTTTCTCATGTTCGTATCCTACTAAAGAAGAGACGATAGTCCTGGTATCTGATTTATTCAAATTGTATTTACAAAAATTCTAGTGACGCCACTGTGACTATATGAATAAAATGCGGCGTTATGTTAAAAAGTCTATTCAACACTTGAATAAAATTTACAGCGTCAATAACCTAGTGATAATACCCTACTAAACAAATAATAAACTGAGGGAGATGAGAGGATGGTACTTTCGTGGATCAATTTCAGTTTCATGGGGGCAATAAAAAGGGTTCTTCTATGCCCTATGCGGTGGAGTTTTCCCACCACGCGTGGCATTTTAAGGGCGCACAACAGATGGATTTGGGCGATAACAACGAAAGATACTCATCGGTGAATGCTGCGATTTTGAAACGCTTAATTAGTTTACGGACATATTGTGGGAACTGATTAACGGAATCGAGCATAAATCCGTTCACATACATGTATTCATTTATATGTAAATATTAAAGCTTTCCATAGACGAGAGCCACATTCTGCAACCACTTCTTGTTTAATCCATCATATCCTGCGGTCATTCAAGTCGTTGCTCTTATCAATGATCTAGCTCCAAAAAGATGACTTCATTAAAATTATTCGCATCATCACGACTAGTAGAATCATCTATTATGTTGAAAACTTTGTTCAATAACCTTTTAAAATTTTAGATTCTTTATCTATTGAGATCAGAGTGATATATGGGAGGAAGAACCTCAGGAAAAGCACTAGTATGGCCACTCAACGTGAAACCAAAATCAACAACATACACATGAATATAATTTAGCATGTAACAATATAACCTGACACTGAAAAAAATGTCTCCCGTTCTTCATCCTTTGACTCATTTTGAATGGCAAAAAAGTTCATACGATATAATACCTATATGTTACTTTTCTGGTTGATATTTAGTTTATAATAATGCACTGGTCTCCTCTACTAGATCCTAACTGAATATACTGCTGGTAGCCTTTATAGTTGACTAAGGACATGTTTTAAATATTCCCGATTGCATTCTTCCTGTACAAAATCAATCATTAGATGCAAAATTGTGGTTCCTGATGCACATTTCGAATCGATACTTACAATGATGGATACCCTGTTCAATATCCATGATTGATAATCTGATATTTATTCACAACTTATGTCTACATTCTCATATTTTATTGGAAATGAAATAAATAAATATTATTATTATTATTATTATTAATATCATAGATATTGAAAGTGAAGGTACTTTTTCAACCAGAGGACGAGTACTTGAATGGTCAATCGACGTGAAACTATGGATACCAAATGCATCAACAAAAATATCTTCATCGTTCAACTTATTGAACGATTCATAAACATTTAATATGAGATAATACCACTATTAATTTTCTTGTAGATAATATCTTTCAATTCCACGGTCATCTTTACCAGATTCTATCTGAGTATGCTATTTTAGTTTTTAGTCGACTGAGGAAATATTTTTTGTGACATTCAACCCAGGCAAACGATTATTATCGTATTCCATGTTTTTTGGGGTGCTGAATCCGAATCAGTAATTATCAATCAAACGTACAAGGACATTTTGTTGGATTACTCCCAGATTCGGGTTCAGCAGTGAAACTACCATTTGCCTGAATTAATTGTGATGAATGTTTGAATATCCAAGATTTTTGTGGTTGGAGGTGGAAGCAAATAATTTCAGTTTTTTGATGAATGTCAGTGAATGGAGATTGTATGATTCCTGTATAAAATCTATCATTCCAGGCCAATAGATTGTCGTTGCTTATACACATATTCTTGCTGTTGAAATTGAGGATATCATTTTTATTAAGAAGAATACCACTAGTATGGCCAATCAACGTGAAACAGGAAACCAAAATCAACAACAGAAATATATATTTTTGAGTCATTGATGATCGATTGGCTAAATTAGACCACCAGGTATATCCTTTCTACGGTGAGACGATAGAAAATCGTTTATTCAATGGAATACTCGTTTGCATATTGTATAATAATTGTGCTAATCTTGAATGGTTTCTAATCAATTCTCAGGGGGTCTTTAATGATTCTAGTGCAGTTAACGAAGCGGTGTCTTAACGATAACTAATTATCCAACTAATTATTTGAATCATCGTCTAGTACATTCAGTCTTCTCACGATGTTTACAGTTAACTGTTACGCAAAAATATAAGAATTCATGATGCCAAATCTTATTGATTTGTGTCAAACTACCAAACATACCGATCGGTCACTCTAGAAGATTTTTCTCCTCGTCATACTAAAATCATGTAAACTATGCTTAAAATAAATGAATGATCGATGCTCATGTAGATCAATCCTGATAATTCGAACATCGTAGTCCTTCTTTTGGTTTATTCCGATGTGTTTCAATAATCATTAGTATTTTAAATGAACAATTGATGTGTACATTTTTGCGATATCTTCATATTCAAAGACAACGAACATTTTCTTCATATCCAATTTCGCAAATATACTTTTTCTGAATGTGATTTTCTCTTGTTACAGACCTAAATTCGGACTACCTCGACATGTCCTTCGGTAGGTCGCCTGGCACACCAGGACTGCACGGTTCCAGCCAAAGGACGAAAAGGATGCGAACGTCCTTCAAGCATCATCAGCTGCGAACGATGAAGTCCTATTTCGCGATAAATCACAATCCTGACGCGAAGGACCTCAAACAACTATCTCAGAAGACTGGTCTCCCGAAGAGGGTTCTACAGGTAAGGAGATGAATTAGATGTATGATTGTATAGGGTGTCCTAGAAAAATCTTAGAGTGTGCTGAAAGTGTGGACATCAACATAATTTCATGTTGAACAAACTTGTATTCTCATTTTATGCATTTTGTTGTCCAATTCTGAAAGTCTTAAAGAATTCGGCTTTCGAAATACAAATATGTAGTAGTTTACTTATGAGAATAAATCAGTGTGAATTCATACTTGCTGCTAAGCCAAATCATTCGAGAGATATTTGAAAACTGATTGTTCACATATATCGTATCAAAATAATTGGGATACTTTCATAAGGAGAGCTCTACCAAAGTCGCTTGTTTTCAAAGCTCTCAGTCATGTGTACTCGGTTCTGGTGTATATACCAATATTTTTGAATGAACGACTATACTACTACGATATTTGGAACTAGGTCTATAAATCAAGTGGAGCATTTAAAAAGATTCAACCATATCGTTTCTTTTAAATAAAATATACAATAATGAATTGGCAATTTGGTGTCATTCAATAGCTCCTTCCACAACGATGAATATATCAACAACATCGCAGCAAACGAGGCAATTAGTTACATATAATTCCCATTGACCTGTGTTGTTTTCATTAAAATACCCATATAATTAACACTTCGGAACGAGCTATTCAATTACATTTACACAAATTGAACAATTCGCTATCAGACGCGCGATCATTAAATTTGTGCTGATAGCTCAAACTAAGAGTGGAAGGATTCAAACTGCTGAAAGCAGACATAAAGTGCGGACTGTGCGCTTTCCATTGATAAACAATCGTTCCTGCGATGCGAGACCCCGGAGCTCTAAAAACCGGGACTATTAAAATCTTTCACTCTGCTGAGGTTGTTTGTTTTAAGTCCTCGTTAAGAGCTCTAGAGCTACTAACCCCAGGCCTCGATATTTCAGCGAGTCGGGCTCATCGTGATTTGTTACCGAACATAAAGCCCTTATAAATAATACTAATGACAAAAAAGATTGAATTACTTGTGGCACCCTCTCGAGGATGCCGGGTTTGTGTGTTCGATGTAAATCAGATTTATGATTATACTGCGAGGTACGAAAACCCATTTGCCTAGATCTTCTGGTGGATTGATTTTTTGTTTGTGAATGTAATTGGTTTCATTTGCATCGTGACCGTGTTTTATTTTATAGCTTATGCATCTTTAGTGGGAAATTGGGCGTGTGAGACACTATTGACATGTTCAATATATTTGGAGATTTATCACTCATATTTTTGTATTGGCGATACCTGACCCAACGAGGTTTCATTTTCATCATGTAAATAAATAATTTTACAAAAGAATTCTATTTAGTAGGTACCTTCCTAAGATTTTTCACAACTCTCCGTCGACACCATTCAGATTGATTGCTTTTTGATACAAAGGACCTTCTAACGTAGTACTAGCATTGAACCTCTTTTGTTTCGAAGGGCTAGATCTCATAACGAAAAAGCCCAATGAAGTTCATGAAAAACCATTTTATATAATTCTTACCTAAACTGATGTATTACAATTTGCTACATCGTATGAAATCAAAATGTGAATGAAACAATAGATGTTTTAGCTTCATCAGCATTAGTATACTGAATGTGCAATCTGGAAACCACTATCCGGCTACCCACATTCTATCAAGATCTCGTCAATTATTTTTACATAATCAGATGAATCTTCAGGTGAGAGCTAGACGTCAACATGGATTAATTGAACCGAAAGCACAATTTCATGTTCCGTTGGTATGTTCTGGGATGATATATAATTCAGGAGCAGACTTGGAACTTGCATATCCATCACATAATTGATTATAAAGTTCAAGTTCTCCGCTGGAAACAACATTATTTGATAAATTGAAAACATCAGATGCCCTCTGAAATTTTGAATCCAACTTCAGATCGAACATATTTCAGTATATCTATAGTTGTAATGTCAATGCGGAGGAAGAAGATGACATTACATTATCTGAAATTATCTAGATGGACCCTTCCATCTATGTTGATAATATTTGATCCTTAGTTTCAAGTATCAAGAGATATGATCAAGATATATGTCTACAACATTCTTGAAACATGCTGTTTGTCAGTTCATGAATTATGCCACACTTATATATTGTATATTCATGACCCTTTTTCTGAAGGAAAATCACCATTAGGTTTTCCTTCTGTGAGCATTTCGGTATTCCATGATCATTATTGAGATCCACGATATTTCAAACTATATGTGGTTAGCCCTAAGGCTGAAATAAATGAAGATGAGAAGAAATATGAACCACCTTTCGTTCATCTGATTTTTTCATGCCAGCATTAGCAATATATCTCAAGATAACATTAAAAAATGAAATTCCCACACTTCGAAATTATTATCTAGACATTCTAGACTCTAGAGTAAATACTACGTAGATTTCACTCACTGAATCACTACCATCGAGATTTCTACTATGAAGTTATGAAAAGAGTCAAAATATGAGACAAACTCTTCAAGATGAAAACAGAGAAAATGCGAAGAGAAAGTGCGAAGTAAAAGTCCCGTTTCCCCTCCCAATCAATACCTATCGCGAGTTATTCGAAGAAAAAATCATCTTTCCCCCCGGCCGGGAAGGCACACAAAGAAAATGGCGAAAAAGGATCTGTTCGCCTATAGCATTGCGCTCGTTCTTCCATACAAGTCCCCCGGGAACAGCGGGAGGGTGGAAAATCGCACAGACGAGTAATTGGAGACATCCCCTTCCCCCGAGTCGCATCCCGAAGGGGGGACATCCCCTTTCCCCGACCGCGCCCCGATGATTTATTTTATTTCGGGTCGCGGGTGGCTGGATTTAAAAGGCGTGTGCCGTTCTGATACGCTTCCGAGATATTGATTCAACAGACCAAGAAATATCTGTTTAGGGGATGGGGTGTTCGGTGTTCGAACGGAAAGAAAATGTATTTCGAAACGTTCGAGAGGATGAGGAAATGCCAGTCTAATTGGCATCAACTACCGTGGAAAGATTCATATAACTACATATATTTTATGTCTTATCTGCTATGGAATGGGGAGCGAACGTGATGGTTATAAACAGTTGAAAAATAGGGGCATTCCACACCTCTATCTCTCAACTAATTGGATGGTATATTCAGTAGAGTCGTTATGATAACGGAAAAAATCCAGTAGGCTCCACATACTAGATATTAATCACAGTATTTTGTTTTAAACATGACATTTTCATGATGTCTGCAGTTCGACCGAGACGAAATAATCTGCACCTTTCAAGTTTCCCTGGTATTTTCTCACCTAATTTCAATAAATTAATATATGAATATATGGAGTATGGTTCCAATATATTCGTTGTAAACACATTGCAGATTGGCTACATATACCTAGTTCATTTTCAAATTGTGTTACTGAAATTGAGAATCTCTAATTCATCCTTCTACACAATGTCTCTACATAATTTGATGGTCTCTTGATGCTTTGTTCTATTCCTACATAGATTCCTTATATGATGCCTATGAGATTCTCGTACCTTCATCTTCGATAGGTTCAGATTGTTGGTAGAGTATCCTGTATCAGAAAACCTGATTATTGAGAAATTCTTACTCGTATAAGGAACCTCATAATCACTTGGGTACAATTCAAGTAATGAGGAGGGACAATTATGAGTGGCTCCTCTTGAAGTCTATACATTTTTGGAATGTGACATATTTTGGTGCCACTCTTTATTTCCAGATCAACGGTAGGGTTGAAGTTTTTATAACTTCACAGTAAGTACAAACAATGATTGCAGGAAAACGATGTCATTGCCTCAGAAGCTGTAGCACAAGATTTTTTTCGGAACTGAAGGGAAAAAGTCGGATTCAGGTCCTTCATTTTGATGGGATCCGGACCCCTAGGACCCCTGCCTGGGTACGGCCTTGTTCTAGCATTCTGAACTGACAATTTCTTTTTATCTCCTCTTTTCAATTTCCATACTACAGAATCGATTACCCAAGGATAATTTTCACCCTGATGTTCTGCAGCGAATGCAGTAGATCGGCAGTGTATGTGCGTGACCAAATGATGTGCCACGGGCAGACTAGCTCTCCGCACCGAGTACCGTCTAGCGACTATTTCTATTTCTGCTAATTGCCGAAGGCGGCTGTGTCGGAATGTTCACGATGAGAAATGACTGTCGGTTGACTGATTACCATGGAGACCGCCGCCACCGTTCACTTGATCTTGCTGCGTTATGCTGCCTGCTTACACTATCGATCCGTATTAGGGACAAGATGGCCGTGTTTGCCCAAGGTTTGCTGACTTTTCCGTCGGTGGTGGAGAACAAAGCCTCCATTTTTCCGATATGGGAGATATGGAAACAGATTTGTTCAAACTTGACGGTTTTTTATGTAAGCTTAGGGTTCTTTCTCGCTTAGAATTTTTGCCATATAAGGGCATGCTGTTGATTTTCGAATATATGGTTGGCGAGATGATTGGCTCGCCAAATATTTCAAATGTGTCTAGAAAACCAAATGTGGGCATAAATTGCAATTGTTTTATCTTTTGGCTAACTGCAAGTGTCCCTTCTGGACTCTGGTACCAATTCGAGTTAGACAGAACTGTTTTTAAGAAGCTGTCGTATAGGCATTTTTTTATGTTCTGGTTCCCACGAAAAGGGATATCCTGTAATGTAAAAAGGGAAATAAGGAAATTGTGTTCTTCTTAAATTTCTGGAGGTTAAATGCCTCGGGGAATACCTCCCTATGCAATTTATTCCAGAGCCTTCCTGTTCGTTGGATGAACGAATCTTTGGAAAGAGATGTTCTGCAGGTCTCCAAACCCTCAACTCGACGGGTTATTCTCGAAGGAACTGCATACACGAATTCGGGTTGTTCTCTGTATATTATATCATATCAGTCGGAGTTGATTAATAAAAGTAGTGTATTAGTCAACTAGTGTTTCATTGAGCATTATAAATCGAGTAGAAAAAATACCGTCTATGACAGACCAGACCGTAAAAAGATTTGTGATTGACT